TCTACACTTGCCTCCTTTAGCGTCGACAATCAGCAGTGCCTCGATTCGGAGAATTTTGCCCGCGGAACGGCCTGCTCGCACTACAGCGGACGAACTTCCGGGGAGAGTGGTGGTGGAGGTGGGGGTGCATATCCAGCCATGACGGCAAGAGGAGCTAGAAATGGCGGCAAAGTCGCTTCTATTAGTGGTGGCCAATGTTCGACTGGAAATTCCAGTCGACGAAGTAGTAGTGGCAATAGCTCTCAGCAGGAAAAGGACGTTCCTGCCGACGGATCAGCATCGCCAAACTCACTTGCTGCACAGCACCGCTGGAAGGGCATTGCTCGCGTGGCGAGGACCTTTTCGGTAAGTTTAAGAGCTATAATGTAAACTTTTTTGTAACAAAAGTAACTACCTGCTCAAACTAGCTTTTTAAACGCTGGGCCCGTGACGGAGACGGTCGAAAGCGGACCAGCTCTGTCGTCAGTCGGGATTCTTTTCTGGAGAAGTTCGTGCAGACGGGCGCCTCTTCAGAGGCGGCAACCGGCGGTGCTGGAGACGGAAGTCGATCCACTTCCGGCGTGGTCAGCGGTGATGGTCGTCGTCGTCGGGGAGGAAAGCACAGTTCAGCGTCAGCCAGAAAAAGTGGCACATTGTCAGGCAAAAAAACTGCTGGAAACGCTGGGGAAGACCTTTCTTCGGCAAACTCTGCCGACTGTGTGCCTACGCCGAAACGGACGCTCAAAGAACGCTATCAAGAGTACAGCTTTATCGTTGATCCGAGCAGTGGTAAGTGATAGTGATCAATATTTGGCCAGTTTGCCAGGGTTTTGATGATGTTAAGATATTTTTTGATGGCATTAAGGCCATACTCAGTTTACTGAAAAGTGGGCTTTTCTGCGTCGTTTACAAAACAACTATTTCAATGTGTTTCAATGAGGTTTGCTGTGATTCTTGTGCTACATTTATCTCAAGAACTACACAACAGATTAATTTGATGTAAAATGCAAAAANTGTGTTTTTATGATGTTAAGATATTTTTTGATGGCCTTAAGGCCATACTCAGTTTACTGAAAAGTGGGCTTTTCTGCGTCGTTTACAAAACAGCTATTTCAATGTGTTTCAATGAGGTTTGCTGTGATTCTTGTGTTACATTTATCTCAAGAACTACACAACAGATTAATTTGATTTAAAATGCAAAAATGAAGTTTAAGACTTATTCTTACTTTTTTAGTTAAATATTTTGATAAAATAAAATAAGAATAAACAAAACAGTTGCTGAAATGTTAATTTTGTCATTTTAATAATTTCAACAAAATTTAACTGAAATATTTAACTAACGAAAGTTAGATTAAGTCTTTAACTTTATTTTTGTTTTTACATCACCTTAATCTGATGTGTAGTTCTTGAGATAAATGAACCAAGAGAATCATACCAAACCCCATTAAAACACATGTTTTGTGGACTGCGCAGAAAAGCCCCCTTCTCAGTATATCGAGTATGGCCTTATTTTGAGCATTTTCATCCCTAATTTTCGTTTGCTTCCACAAGGCCAACACTACCGCTGGCTTCTGGTGATGTGCCTGGCGGTGATCTATAACCTCGTCACCATAGTGGGCCGAGCCGTCTTCTGGCAGATGCAAAACGACTATCTGGAGTGGTGGACGGCGCTGGACTACGGCGCCGACTTGCTCTACCTCCTCGACATGTACATCACCTCGAGGACAGGTGGGGGAGAGGAGGAGTTTTCTAACAAACCAAAACATACAGGTTTTACTCGTTTTAACTTTTTCCTACTTTATTTGCTTGTTTAGGCTTTCTCGACCAAGGTCTTCTGGTGCGTGACGTTCGCCGCCTGAGCGCCGCCTACTTCACCAGTGTCCGCTTTAAGCTAGACCTCCTCTCAGTGCTGCCCACCGACTTGTACTTCTTCTTCGGTGGACTGCACTGCGTTCCCGGCCTGGTGTATCCCTGTTCGGTGGTGGTGCGCATGAACCGGCTGCTTCGTTTCTACCGCATCTCCGACTGCTTTGACCGGACGGAGACGCGCACCTCCTTTCCCTACGTTTTTCGCATTGGCAAGCTGATTTTCTACATTCTCATACTGATCCACTGGAATGCCTGCATTTACTTTGCCATCAGCTATGTCATTGGCTTTGACTCGGATCGGTGGGTGTACAACCGCCGAACTGCCATTGGTGGTGGGGGTGGTGGAGGAAATGGAGGAGGCGGCCATGGCGGCGGAGGTGGCAATAGTTTCTACGGAAACGGAAGTGGAGGCAACCTACTGAGTATGTCAAATGACACCACTCTAGGAGACACCCTTCGCCACCAGTACATTTACTGTTTCTATTGGTCAACTCTAACGCTGACCACTATCGGCGAGGTGCCCATTCCCGAAACGGACTTTGAGTACACCTTTGTAGTGATCAACTTTCTCATTGGTATGTGCTTTTACCTTCAAATTGCAAACTTGTTAAAAATCTTAAACTTTACCTGAAATTCATTTGCTCAGGCGTGCTCATCTTCGCCACCATCGTCGGTAACGTCGGCTCGATGATCACCAACATGAACGCCGCTCGGGCGGACTTTCAGGCACAGATGGACGCCGTGAAGCAGTACATGGAGTTTCGACACGTCAGCAAGGAGCTCGAGTCGCGCGTTATCAAGTGGTTCGACTACCTCTGGTCGAATAAGCAGTCACTGAATGAGGAGTCGGTGACGGCCATTCTCCCTGACAAGCTGAAGGCGGAGATTGCCATCAACGTGCACCTGCAAACGCTGCGACGGGTGCAGCTCTTTCAGGACTGCGAGCCGGGCCTGCTGGTGGAGTTGATACTGAAGTTGCGGCTGCAGGTTTTCTCCCCAGGAGATTACATCTGCCGGAAGGGGGACGTGGGAAAGGAGGTAAACACCATCAGATTAAATTTTAAGCTAATCACCATTTTGCTAACAAAAATTTGTACCACAATTTTCCTGATTTTCCTAGATGTACATCGTCAAACGAGGCAAACTGTCNCGGAGATTACATCTGCCGGAAGGGGGACGTGGGAAAGGAGGTAAACACCATCAGATTAAATTTTCAGCTAATCACCATTTTGCTAACAAAAATTTGTACCACAATTTTCCTGATTTTCCTAGATGTACATCGTCAAACGAGGCAAACTGTCGGTGGTGGCCGACGACGGCCGTACCGTCTTTGCCACCCTCACCGACGGCACCGTTTTTGGCGAACTCTCCATACTGAACATCACCGGCAGCAAGACGGGCAACCGCCGAACGGCCAACGTCCGCTCTGTCGGCTACTCTGACCTTTTTGTGCTAAGCAAGAACGACCTTTGGGAGACGCTGGAAGACTACCCCGACGCGAAGAACATGCTGATTGAAAAGGGCAAGGAGATCCTCCTCAAGGACCGGCTGCTGGACGAGGAGGCGTTGAAGAGGGCCGCCGAGGAGGAGGAGGACGCCGCGGCGAGGTCCGCCCGTCTGCAGAAGGAGCTTGACACGCTGCAGCTGCGTTTTGCCCGCCTCATCGCCGAGTACTCCTCCTCGCAGAAGCGGCTGAAACAGCGAATTTCCGCCCTGGAAGGTCGTAGCGGGCATCAGGAGGTGCTGGCGGGTACTTCGCTTCGGAGACGATGGCTGGCCGCCAACCGAAGTGGCGGAAACCTTTCTGTGGGCGGTGATGGCAGAAACAATAGCCTGAGACCGACAGTTCCGGGCAACTTCTTCTCGCAGTCCGTTGAGGTGGTGACCAACGCTGGCGTGGATAGTCTTGATCAGTCGGAGATTTAGAGATCTCGTCTAGAATCGATTGATTTCAAACTTTTTTTCATTTTTTGCGTTAGTGTTGTACTAGTTTTAGCGTTTTTTGCTTTTTTGTTTGTAACACATAATAATTTCTTTTATTTATGCTCGCTTTTACTAAATTGTCTTTTTTTGTGGCTGTTGCAAGTTTTTTTCCGATTAAAATTTTTAAACAAAAGTTTATTATTGAGTTCAGAGTAATACAAAAACAAAATAGATTATGCTGTTAGTAAGAAAATGTTTTTTGTTGGTGAACAAAAATAAAATATGTTTGTGTTTCATTTATTTCAAAAGTATGAACATATTTATATCATATCTGATTATGCTGGTTCAAAAACAAAAATAAATGAGTGTATGAGTTGTCAAACAAAGTTGAAAAAATAAATAAATCTTTTCTGTGTGTGAAAGTGTATTGATTGGAAAGTTCAAAATAAAAACTTTAAAAACAAACAAAACAAGAAATTAAAAATAGTGATTCATTTTAAATGAGTATTGGTATGCTAAAATGTAATCAAAAGGCAAACACTGGCGCCTCGTCGTTCTGGTTTTCACCATCCGGCTGCTCAATGTTCTCCAAATGATCATTATTATTATTACCACCACCAATATCATCATTGACCTTGCTGGGACCCAGGAGCGCTTCTCCCGGAAAGTTCAGCGTGAAGGCCAAATTGGAGACGCTCACCGGGAAAAAGGTGACATCGCTGGCGGACACGGGCGCCAGATTGAGGCGCATGTGGCGGACGTAGATGGGCGTCGAGAGGCGGCACTCGAGGGCGCGGTTGGAGCCGAAGGCGCTCGCCTCGCCGCAGCAGAACCACCGGACGCCTCGCTTGCTGCGCCGGCTGACGTCCACCCGGGCGCGATTCTCCGGCAGCAGACGGCGCCGGTCGAACTCGACCACCACATCGTCGTCGTCCGCCTCCGCTTCTGCCAGACGGGCCCCCTCCTCCTCCTCCTCCTCGTCGTCGGTCCTCCACTCGAACCAGGACAGGAGGAAGGAGGTGCAGCGGACGTAGTAGGTGATGCGGTCGATGGCCAACTTCCGGTCGAAGGTCAGCCTCAGGCTGAGGGGGGCGCGCACGGCAAAGAGGGAGGCGCCGTTCGGGAGCAAAACATCGCCGTCTTCTAATTGTGGTGCGTAAATGGTGACGTCGGCAAAGCGGATGCAGTTTCGAAAATTGGGGTGATCTTCATCGCCAGCAGACTCGCTATCATTGACTAGAATTGGCTTTAGTGAGGTGAATGGTGAAAAGAGGTTGTGGTTAAAGTGTTTCAAGGAAGAGGAGGAGGAGGAGGAGGAGAAAGAGAGAGTAGTTGGTAGTGGGAGCAAAGAAGAGGAAAAAGAGTTGTGTAAAGAGAAGTGATTGCACATACTGATTGATTGGCTTATGTTTTCCGCTTCTTTCTCTTCCGTTTCCTTCCGTTCCAGTTTCCTGCGCTCAATCTCTGCTGCCCTCTCCTCTGCTAGATCGTACTTGGTGACGACCAAGTTGAAAAACAGTTCCTCGTTGACTGTGAAAGAAAAAGTATGTTTACTTTATCTTTACACTCTAACTTTTTTATCATCCATTTTTTAACTTACCATCAAGCGTTGCCAGCAGTTTTGGCCCATCGGCGAGCAGTACAAAGCGTACTACATCGAGCAGTTTGCTCATCACCTCCAGCCCGTTCTCCTGCTGGTCAATGGCGTGCTCCTTCATGTACCGAAAGAGAAAGGGAATCAGGTTGTCCTCCTTCACAACAAAAAAATCGTCAGAGAGGAAGGTAACCAACTCGTCGGGGGTCATGCTCTGCAGAAAAGAGGGCTCCTCCAGCATCAGATGGCCGTGCTCGAGAATGTACGCGGTGGCCGCCTTGCTTAGTCGGTCAAAATTGTAGTGCTCTGAAGCGACCTTGAAAACGTAGACCACCTTGTCGGGCGACAAGTCTGCAATGACGGTGTCTGTCAAGCTTTTTACAAGCTCATCGAGAAGAAAGTGGTCGGCTAAAGAAAAAAAATTTTACAGTTTTTAACCCTAAAAAACGCGTTCAAGCTTGCTAAACTTCACTTCACTTACCAGCGACCATCAGATCCATTAACTGGTGGACCGGTTCGTAGGCAAAGGTGCCGCGGTAAATGTAGTGAAGGATAGCGGCCATCACCTCACCGGTGATGTCATTCAACACTAGCTCATCACTAGCCTGTTTGCCCTTCCGGTCTTTATCCTTATCTTTCTCTTTCCCCTTATCCTTGCCCTGGTTTGCCTCAAAACGAAAGTAGGACTCAAAATAGCGCGAACGAAAGCTAAGCACAAATCGATGCGCCTGATGACGCTGAATGCGGCGCTCCAGCTGATAGTGACCACCACTGGCCGACGACTTGACCAGTGACTTGGTGGTGATGATGGTAAAGTCGGTCTGCAGAGGGGAGTTCCCGTCGAGCAGACGGCTCAGATCGCCAAGGACGCACTGGAACATGTTTGGCGTAGACTTGAAAACGGCCGGCGGAGAATTGGTCGAGGAATTAGATCGAGATGAAGTGGTCGAGGAGAACGGTGATGCTGAGTGGGAAGTTGAAGAAGAGGATGAGGGAAAGGAGAATAGGCCTGAAACAGAGTAGGGGGCAGTGGGAGATGTGCCCACGGTGGGAAACTGATTGGGATGAGCTTCCAGTTGAGGAAAGTGCAGCTGAAAGGAGTTGACCGGGGTGGCCGCCGGACTGAGAAGCGGAAGTGGAATTCGAAGAGCGTCGCCATTTGGGCCATCGTTTGGTCCCATCACTGAACGTTGATGAAATACACGAGACATGTTCTCCTTTTGGCAAGAGATGATATTTGGTGTCACACAGGTTAAATGGATAAGTCAAAATGACGATGTTGATGGTCAGGCAAAACAAAGTCAGGTGAAAGTTGTAGTTTTGATAAAAGGCAGCAAACACTATCAAATGTTTCTTTTCTGATAAAAGCAAAAATAATACGCATTGTTAGCCGATCAGATAAATCTGGTGTCAGTTGATTAAATGTGTTTCTATTGACAGGTTAGCATTAACAAAACTGTTTGTCAAATTAAAGTCAAAGGATTTCAAACACAAAGCAACAGTGTGACGGCGATACGTTCGCCACTGTGCAAGAGCAACAGCGCGTTCTGACCTCAATTTTCTCAGTTTTCTTTCTTCAAAGTAAAAAAATAAAACTGATTACTCTTTATCTCTTTCTCTCTCCAGCAAAAATCGGTGCGCCAGCCGACCGGTGCAAAGTCTGGCGGTTTTGTGCGGCCGCCAGACTTTAAAAAGGAAAAGAGAAAAAGAGAGAAAATGGGAATGAAATAGAAAGAGAAAGAGAGAGAGCCAGTAGACAACAAACGGCCGACGCTGGTCTGCAGACACTGTCGCCGTTGTGGCGCTAGTTTGCAGAAGTAGTGTTCGGTAGTGTTTGAAAGTTTTTCTCTCTCGTTTTCTGTCTTTTTTCCATTTTGTCAAACTGACTCTTTTTTTCCCCATTGGCGACAACAGCTGCTGCAGTGGCGGCGGCAACGGTAGGCCGCTTCAGTTTCCGAACAGAAAATGGCTTTTCCTTAAAAATAAAGCACACGCATATGATGCTGTACAGCTGCCACTGCTGCTGCTTCTGGGCAATCATAATAATAGACTGTGTGTGTGTGAGTGTGTTTGTTGAAATGTAAAGGAAAAAGAATAACTGAAAACGTTTCTGATTTTGTTTTCTTTTTGTTTTTTACTCCTTTCTTTTTCCCACTGTGACACACACACTGAAATAAAAAGACGCTGAATTTGATAAAAGGAAGGAGAAAAAAGCTTTGACAGTATGTTTGTTTTCTTGTTTTTCTGTCTGTCTGACTGTCTGTTTGCTTACTGAGCTGATTATAATACTGGTACTGGATATGAGAGTCTAGAAAATGGTCGGCCAGAATTGGAATTGACTGCCACTGTAGCAAAAAAGCAAAAACAAAAAGACAGCATGTATGACAAATGATCAAACAAAAATAAATTAAAATTCAATTTATTTAATTTTTGTTATTTACTTTTTATTATTTTTTATACGGAAAAATAAATTATGAAATAAACTTAAAAAATTTAACTTGTAATGCTTAAATGAAGCAACATAATTATTTGGTAAAAACAAAATCTTAAATCATTTTGCTGGTAATACTTTTGAATGTCACCCCACTTTTGACCATTTGAGCATCTGCACTTGAAAAAAGTGCCCATTTGCGCGCTAATGTAGGATTTATCTGGGGAAAAGTGGTGTGGAGCAATTCACTGCAAGTAATCAAGGACACTTCAGAATGATGATTCAATTTAGCCGTAATAACGTTTCAATAATCTCCCGCTTCAGTTCTCTTTTTCCCTCTCATTTTCTCCCTTCTTTCCCTTCTCCCTTCAATGAGGGAGCTGAAGAAAATGTGCATGAAAACAAACACTTTATGAATTTTAAGTAATTGCATATAGTAAATAGGACTACTACCGACTGCTTCTACTGCACAACGACGACAACAGGAGCACCCAATTATGAAAACGATGTTGTCGCTGCTTGCAAACTTTTTCCGTACAATGAATTAGTGTTTGACAATAACAGCAGCAACAGCAACAGCAGCAGAAGCAGTAGCGGCAGGGGAAAATGTCAAATGGTGGTCCACTGTGGCTAAATTATGATACCATTTTGAGACCCGTAGCCTTGGCTTGGCTTTAATGGCACACCGACGTTCGCCACCGATGTGCCCCTTAGCTATTATGTTTTTCTAGGGTGCTAAATTTTATTATGATCACTACTTCAACCACTTGGACAACTTTTCTCAACATTTTTTCTTCTTCCCCTCAACTTCTTCTTGTACACTTTGACATTTTCCCATGTTGTTTTATTTTGAAAGCTTTTTTACTTGCCGTCGCCGTAGCTGCAAATTCAGTGTTTGTTTAAAACAAGCAAAAAAATGAATAAATAAGTGAGTGAAAAAAGTGAAACAGACAGTCCTGAACCGGCTGACAATTGAAAAATCTGTTTGGCCACTGACTGTCGTACAACAATGAAAATCGGCGTATGGAAACCTGAAAAAAAGAGAATTGAGGGGAAGAGCAAGAATTGGTTGAACTAATGTTTTGGATTGCACAGCCATCACTGAAGAGGCGTCTAAATGCGGGGTAATCATATAAGTTATATAGCACAGTAAGAGTTACTTAGCCGCTAACTACTGCTAAATGAAGTGATAGTGATTTAATTAGTGAAACACACGCAAATACGAGCGTGAAGAAAAAGAAAAAGCAAATTATAATTTGATTACAATACACGGTTAGCAAAAACAAAAAAAGCAGCGTAAAAAAGATAAAAAAAAATTTGAAGTAGAATAAAGCTTTTAATTTGACATTAAAAATGTACCAATTTTATACTAATCGACAAAGTAAGAGGGTTTAAAGGTTGACTACTTACGTCATCAATATTAACTATTTCGTTACCTACACTTGAAACTAAAATATTTTAAAAATTCATTTTTATAAACTGTTTTAAGTGTTTTGTTCCTTCGTTTAAGCCCATTATAAATTTTAGGTTTTTATCATTAAAAGTTTTAAGGCATTTAAAGTAGTAAAACTTTTCAATTTATAAAAAATGTTAAAGTATTAAAATTATTAAAAAAATTTTGCATTGAATTTTTTGCACTGAATATACAAAAAAAATTTGTAATGCGCAAAAATGTTAATAATGTTTTTAAAAGTCTAAATAAATTTTCTAATTAAAACAGTCATTTTAACAAAAACACAAGTGTGAACGTGCAATTGACTTAAAATACTGTAAAATTTTCAATAGATTTTTTCTTTTATTGATGAAAACATTTTAACTGATAAAACAACTAGCTTTTTTTCCTTTGAAATAGAAATAATTTTAGTTTTAATTTTTATTTGCAACAGCAGTTATTTAAAAAAAAGTCTACTAGAGCAATAAAACGTTAAATGTGTTTTCCCATTCTATTCGGTTTTCTCACAAAACAGATAAATCCCACTACTTTCTTCTTTTCAAGCAAATTGTTTTCGTTTTAAAGAACTACGTTGGCAAAAAAACAAAAAATTGTTGCATTCGTAATGACGCATGTAGGACACACTTTTCATTTTCTTAGAGTTAACATTAACAAAAATTGAAAATGGACAAACCTATTGGCTAATTCAGTGGGAAAAAAGGACAAAATAAACAAAAAAATTTGAAAGTTTAAAAGTTCAAGCAAAACTGAAAATGGAAACGTAAAGAAAAAAATAGAAACGCACAGTTAGAATAAAAGCGCAACAATAAAGACAAAAAAATAAAGCTTACAATGTCTGGCTGTGTTTTGTACAATTAATTTTATTTAAAGTTTTACTTACATGTCGTAGGCACACTGGTAAATGTTACACACTGTGCTCTGTAAAAATGAATGTTAAATGCTGAGAAATGAAATGAAACTAGGAAGAATTAGTCAATGTTTGAGTTGAAAGCGCAAAAAACAGAATGAAAAAGATTCATCTTCACAGAAAGTCATTGCCTTGCCAGAAAATGACAAAAAATCAACATTTTTAATAAGCGAGATGGCTAATGGAATGCAAATGAGAACTGTGGACGTGCACCCAAGTAAAAGTGTGTGTGTTGTATGTGGATGTTGCAGTGGGCAGTGGACAAACAAACCGCCAAAGCAGTAACATCGCCTTTTAAATTACCACTAAAAAAGCTTATAAAACTTTAAAATTGGTCAACTTCTTAAAAACAAAAAACATGAAAATTTGTTGACACTGACTGAATTTGACAACCGTTGCAAAATGTTTTTTCAGGGATGCAGCAAATCAGATTATAAAAGTTGACTTTCTCGCAGTAAAATAGCTGTGAAGTGCTGTCTTTTTCAGTCACTCAGTGATCAATTAGGGCTCAGTGGTGGTGGTGGTAGTTGTGCAGTTTTAAAGAGAATTTGCCTGCTTTTTTCATTTTCTTGCAGTGTTTACAGTTCTGCTGAATTGGGTTAATTTTTTGTTTTTTTTGCGCACTATTTTGCTGATAAGATGGACAGGCTAAAAAACGCTAAAACCAAAACAAAAGTAGGACAACAGAGCAGCAGCAGCAGCTGTTTTGTTTGTCTGTTCACTCTTATCAGAAACATCATCGACATAATCGTCGGTTACGACACACCACCAAAACACACACACTCACACACTGTCAGTCATTGTCACCCCTTGACACAGTTGACGTCCTTTAGTCGTTTATCAGCTAGTTTGGGTTCGCATTGTGGGTTCGCCCATTAAAAAAGCATCTGCTAAAGGCTTGTCTTTATCAAAAGACAACAACTGAACTTGGGTACTTCACTGAGGACTTTTTACTGCTTGTTTGGATACAAATTCAAACTACTGAAAAAAAGGAGAAACTAGTGAGAAGATACACTTTCCTCACTACTACTACTATAACTTTTTTGTACTCAAAGAGCAAAGGTGGTCACTGACACTTTCTCTGGTTGCA